TGGCAAACCGTTATTTACCGATGGCAGCTGCTGAGCCAATGCCATAGATAGGACTCATTAAGGGGAAGTGAGGCGGAAGAGACGGGTGTGATTGTCCTGTGGGAGGCTGTGCGCGCCGAGCGAGGAGAAGCTCACCTGTCAAAGGTGTGCATCGCTAATCAACACAGCTTTTGCGTCGACATCAATGGGGGAAATAGGAAAAGTAGACATGGGAACCGTGTGCTCCGCCCACCTCCAGCTTATTTGACAGGTGCTGGCCGAACTGTTTCTGTTTACTTCTGTTTTTGTTTACTTTTCTATGACTGAGCTTGATGTAGGCTGTTTGAATGGAGTTAACTCGATTAAAATCGGCACACCTCACTATGGAGTGAAACGTTGCTCCAGCAGCCCTTTTGAAGGCTGAAAAAGGTCACCTGCTGCTCCAACAGACTCAAATCTCACAGGAAATAAGAAATGGCTGTGTTTGCTCTTTAGGGGTTACAGTGAAATTAATATACTCGCTGACAGTAACTGGATGTCCCGTTACTCTACGTCTGAATGGGATTTTTCCAATAGACCTGCCATGTTTTTTTCTTCCTCCGTTAATAAACAAATGTAAGCAAACTTCATCATCAGAAATACACTACCAGTCAACATCTACTCATTTTTTATTATTACTATTTACTAATATTATGAAATAGCATGCATGAAAGTATGGAAATTATGTAGTGACCAAAAATATTAAATCAGAACAATCTTATAATTTGAGCTTTTTAACCAGTTTTAAAGGCGTTAACACTGTTGAAGGACTTCACATGTTTGCTGGCCATTTATTGGTAGGTTTAAATCCATTAAAATGTAAATAATTATTTTATTTTATGCCATGTCATGTCTGGTCAACCCATCCATTAAATGTAAATGATACTAATGATGATGATGATGATACTTTTTATTTTTACTTTTTAAGTGCTTGACAGTAGATTTTCCTGGTTAACTCATCCATTAAAATGGTAGTAATAATAATAATTGTTATTATTCAAAACAATTTTAAACTGTTTAATTTGTATTTTTTATTTATTGGTTGTGCATATGTAGGAAAATTTTTATTTTTTCTGCGAATCTAGTTTCAAGCATATCTGCAAAATATGCAAACTTTAGACTGGTATTTAAAATGGGCAGATAAGCAAGATCAGCCCATAGTTGGTTGTTGTTAAGTTGTTAAGATTATAAAGATGCGGTTGTGGCTATACTTCCTTTTAGTTACTCTCTGTTCGCATTTTCACACCTAATTAAAAATGTAGTTTTATAGGGTAAAAATGTAATTTTGCCATTTACAGTTATGCATTTGTTAAAAATAGAATGCATTGTCTATTTACTTTGATTTGACAAATGCAGACAGTAAAGAATGGACCTTTCACTTGATTTGCACATGTTTGTCTGCTCTACCTGTTTGCCTGAAGGATGCTGAGTGGTTCATTTCCACCAGATCAGGCACCATATTCGCATTTTCACACCTAATTAAAAATGTAGTTTTATAGGGTAAAAAATGTAATTTTGCCATTTACAGTTATGCATTTGTTAAAAATAGAATGCATTGTCTATTTACTTTGATTTGACAAATGCAGACAGTAAAGAATGGACCTTTCACTTGATTTGCACATGTTTGTCTGCTCTGCCTGTTTGCCTGAAGGATGCTGAGTGGTTCATTTCCACCAGATCAGGCACCATATGGTTCAGCTGCGAGCACCAGAGCAGTCTGTCCCTTCCTCATGTCTCAGTTAAGACAATTCTCTTCATAGTGTATTTTTTCCTCTGGATTTTGCTATTTTTTCTCTCTTTTCCACTCCAGTTGTGTTTTTACCTGCCCTGGAGAGAAAAGCCAAGATTTAGAAAGAGAAAGCGAGAGAAATGGAGAAGGAGTAAAAGATGACAGTATTGTAAAAGAAGGATGCTGGAGCGGAGAGAAGCCCATGGATCAGGCAGGCTGCTGTTGTCAGGGGAGCGCAGGGGAAGTATTGATTCGGAAATATGAGCCAGTGGTTAAAAGAAGCTCAAGGATGTCTTAACGTCGCTCTCTCACTTTTCTCTGCTCTCTCGCCGCCTTTCTTCCTGCACCTTAAACAAAAGCCGGTCTCTGTGAGGCGATTTGATGACAAGCCCTGTGCCGGTGTAGACATGATGCAGGAAGTCTGAGCGCTCGAACCCTTACACACACAACAATAGGCTTTCTAAGCGCAAACCTGGATAGAATTACACCGGATGATGCTGGGATTCTTTCATTTTCCTTCTGCAGGAACATTTAGACCTCATTTGTTGAAGATAAATGCTGTTAGGCGGTTGCTCACTGATCCAATTCAATGGCTACGTACACACTGTAAAGATTCAGGAGTGACAACCGCATTGAAATATACAGGAGTGAAACTGCTAAATTACTGTTTTGTGTGTGTGTATGTGGAACAGATCTATGATTGACAGCATCGTAACTATAGCAACATTCTGGCATCTTTAGCATTTGGTATTTACCAAAGTAATATTACGGCCACCAAAGACTCGTTATGTTTGGCCAGCATCAACAGAGCTATTGTGTTTTGTTTATATTCGGAAGGCTGCTTTGCAAAGTGCACTCTTGAAGGGTTGCCATGTCCACTTATTTTAAGCAATGCTTAAGCGTCTTTAGACTAGTTGTTTGGGCTTGCTCATAAAGAGATTCAGTTTATGGATTTAATAAAGTAGGCAAGTGCAGGTCGCGATTTTTTTTGGTGTGATAGCACGTTTGGATTTGAGTTTGTTAATGGCTTGTTCTTTTTATTATTATTATTATTATTATTATTTGTATTTATTATAGCAAGACCTGGCAACACTGAGTCAAAACGTACCCTGTGATTTCTTGCACCACTCATACAGAAAATACACAACTCTGATACGTGTTTAAATACGTCATTAACAACTAGTTGTTCAGTTCGGTTTTCATACACACTGTGTAGACAACGTGGTTGTCACTCCCTGAATTTTTCTGAAGTCAATTCAATTGTAAAATGCTGTTGTCACTCCCGTAAATTACTGAACTGTGTGTACAGAACAAGATTAAATGCTAAAAGTAGAATTGACAACTGAATTTAGCTGCAGTGTGAACATGGCCTATGATATTCTAGTCTTTGAGATAAAAAAAAAAAAAAAATTTATATGCTTATCTTGCAATCCTGAAATGTTCTAGACTCTTAAAAAAAAATGCTTCCACCACAGAAGAATCATTTCAGCCTTCCAGTGAACAGTTCTTAAAAGTATCATTTATCAAACAGTCTGAATTACACACCAAAGTTTGAGTATAAAACCTGTACGATCAGAAGTAATAGTGATGTTTGCCTCCATTAATAAACAGTTCTAGTAATATAATTCTTTAGCATAACTGTACGATGTTTATGTTTCCTAAACACAGACTTGCATGCAATGGTGGACACAGGTGTGCATATACTGGCTCATCCGATCGGATTTTAAAGCAGTGTCTGTGTTAGAACTGAATTTGTTATTACGAATGCTAAACACTCATATTTCATCTGAGCACTTTAGAAAAATTTAAGTATCAGAATAGAGGATCACGGATGAGTACGCAGGTGCCCATGATGCATTTCATGTAGTGTTGAAGCCAATGTGCCCAGGGCTGTAAGACTCTTGAGGGCATGCAGCCAAACAGATGGTTATGAGTTTAGTTAAGCTCTGATAATTCACTTACACTCTTCATTGGACACACATGCACAGACAGACTCTTCATAAGGGATGTTGGGTAACCTGGATACTAGTTTTTATATAAGATTCTATGTGCTGTATTTTAATATTCGTTTAATTTATATTACATAAACTGCCATTCAAAAGTTTGGGGTCGGATTTTTTTTTTAATGATTTTGAAAGAAGTCTCTTGTGCTCACCAGGGCTGCGTTTATTTGATCAAAAGTACATTAAAAACAGGATTATTGTGAAATATTATTACAATTTATAATAACAGTTTTCTATTTGAATATCTTTTAAAATGTAATTTATTCCTGTGATGCAAAGCTGAATTTTCAGCATCATTACTCCAGTCTTCAGTGTCACAGAAATCATTCTAATATGCTGATTTGCTGCTCAAGAAACATTTATTATTATTATCAACGTTGAAAACAGTTGTGTGGATTTGTAATATTTTTGTCAGGATTTTTTGATGAATACAAATTGCAAATAAACAGCGTTTATTTTAAATATAATTTTTTTGTTACAATGCAAAAGTCTTTTCTGTCACTTTTGATGAATTTAATGTGTCCTATAAAGTATATTATAAAGTATTAAATCCTTAAAAAGTTTTTTTCTTAAAAAACCCTAACTTTTGAACAATATATTTTCTTAATATTTTGGTGCCAAGATATTTGGCCTTTTTTAATGTGAAGAAAACAAAGGGAAATATAGTACGTTTTATTATTTGTTTTATGTCGTCACATTTCCTATCAAGTTATTATTATTATATGTATTTAGGATACTTAGGATACTTAATAAAATGCCTATTGTGAAATTAGCTTTAGAAATGCACAAGTAGTTCAGAAAATGTTTAAAATGTCATTGAGTATGAAATTTAATTTCCCGAGTTTTATTCTAGTTTTAAGCATAAAGCACAGTATTAAATAAATAAACAAACAAACAATAAATAAATAGCTAATGGGGTAAGAAAAAATAATAATTTTTTTTTTCAAGTTTTTTTTTTTTTTCAAAACAAAACAAAAATACAGATTTATTCCTTTTTTTTCTTCCAGTGTGCCTTTATTTATTGTTGTAGTGCAGCTCTCTGGGTTTTAGATTCTCACATAAGATAGCTGCAATGTGAAACGGTGTGGAGAAACAGCAGTCTTCTTTGGGGGTCCCTGCAGTCCATCAATCTGCCATGAAGAATAACTGCACTCCCAGCCTTTGTCAGGCTCTCTATTTCAACACATCGACACGGCCACCACAGGGGCCGTCAAGTCCTCATATATTTGTATCCTCCGTCTAACCCGCAGGTGTAGCAGAGGTGATCGTGTTGGTGGGAGGAAGGCAGGCGATCGGTATGAACCAGCGCTCTCTGACGGCCGTCACCTGCTTCAACCCGCAGAACAGCAAATGGTATCCTCTAGCCAGCCTCCCGTTCTACGACCGCGAATTCTTCAGCGTCATCTCCGCCGGGGACAATATTTACCTGTCAGGTACGTCAGATTTTGAAGGGAAGGTCGTATATCAAGTGCGAACAAACTCTGTGGCCACTTCCCAGACGCAGACTGTTTTTTGCAATGATCTCATGAAGAATCGCTGTTGCAGTTACATTAATCTGAGTCCCCATTAGATTCTACCGATCCGTGATATCAAAACATCTATTGGTCTCCATGCCAGATAAATGCAACAAATCCTTTATCAAGGTCACGTTTCTGTCCAGCTTATTTTGGTACTTTCTGAGGTCGTATTACAAGTCTCGGTGTCCGAGCTGCATCAGTAAACAGTTGTAAATTTATTCCCAAATATTTTTCAGAGCATTTTCAACACTGACATTGTGCAATGTCAAGGCATGATGGTGCGTGGTCTTGTTTCCAGGTGGTACGGAGTCAGGGGTGACAGTGGCAGATGTGTGGTGCTACATGTCACTTCTGGACAACTGGAACCTGGTGTCCCGGATGACCGTCTCTCGCTGCAGGCACAACAGCTTGGTGTACGATGGGAAACTCTACACTATCGGAGGACTCGGGGTGGCTGGAAACTTGGACCATGTGGAAAGGTAATTTGTCCTGCAGTCAACTAGCTCAGGGGAAAATTAATGCACAGATGCATTGTGATTCATATTGCACATTTACACTCAAAGCTGGAGGAGAACTGGATATTCTTAGAAACTAGCAGTGCTGTTGTAGTATCATTGATGTTATAGGTTTTGTTAATATTTTGAATTAGATTTTCGAATTTTTTTATTTTCATTTTAGTTAAAGTTTTAGTAATTTTGTTGTTTTTTTCGTTTTATTAGATTTTGCCTAAAGACAACGACGAGTTAATAATATTGAGAAGCGGTTCTTCTGCTACAGGTAACAACTCTTTCAGTAATTTAGTGGGTACAGGATCCCACAGGATATATATATATATATATATATAGTTTTTAGTTTATATATTTTTTGTTATTTTAGTTCTTTAACAAACTAAATGAAAATGGGAAATGTTGCTTTGGCATGCTTATTGAATGCTTATTTTATTTCAAGTAATGAAAATGTTTTTTATGGTTTTAGTTTTGTTTTAGTTCCATGGTTATTAGCGAGTATCTAAACGTCCATAAAATATTATTATATAGTTTTTTAAATATATTTTTAAATGCATTTAATTTTTTATATTTTCAGTTCATTTTAGTTCAAGTCTTAGTAATAGTTTTATAGGTTTATTTAAATTAAGTTTAAGTTTTTTTTTAGTTGTTTATTTAGTTTTAGTTATTTTAGTACTTAAACTAAACAAAATGAGAACTGTTGATTTGCCAATTAAATGAAAAAAATTAATTTGTTTTATGTTTTTTTTATTTCAATTAATGCACAAGTAATGAATTCTTTTTTGTCTTGACTGGCAGCGCTATAGAAATCGGCTCACATTTCGGTTTTGAACAGAGAGTAATAAATAATGCGCGGGACTCGAGGAAGCGGCCAGCGAAAGGTAGCAAAATTACTGACCTGTACAGACCTTCAAGTGCAGGTCAGAATTATCGTCAGTCAGAAAACTGTATGCTAAAAGACGCTATTATCTACTGTAAAGTTGCATTAATAAATTTAGCAGACATATTCACATTGATTTATAGGCTAGTAAAGGTAGGGAGGAGCTAGAGCAGACAACAACATAAAATATGAGTCATAATAATGCAATAACATGTTTATAATATTTTTTTTTTATAAGAAATTGTAGGCACTTAGTCACTTCAGAAAATTTGTTGTAATATATTTTGTATGAATTTGTGTGATATATACGTTTGTTAATCTTGGGTAATTAAGTCATTTTAAGCTAAATAACAACAATAACACATTGTCCTGATGTAATAGTTTGAATTTAACTAAAATAAATTTAGATTCTGTGCAAACAAATTACAATGAGGTGGTGTTTTTGCAACAAGGTGAAGACAGTTTTGTTCATAACAGTAGGGCTGCTGGTGAAGAAGTGACAAGTACAAGAAAAATAGAAAAAAAAAGTACACACATAAACACAAAGGAGAGAAAGAGATATTCAGGGAAAATGGAAGTAAAGGTGCATGTCAACATTCATAATTACAGCTTATGTTCAATATCAATTTGCTTCCACAATGATTCCTTAATTAACACTCAGAAAATTCAGCCTGAAGAAAATGCTTTCTCTTGTAATTATGACTTCATAGTGTTGTACGTTTGCACTGAGCTCCTGAATACCAACTTTCTGACAACTTAGAAAACCAATAGGCTGTGTTTAGCACTGCATTATGGGAAATACATGTGCACATCGGTCTCTTTCTCTGCTCATATCTCCTCATGTGAATGTGTTTAACCTCTTGGAGTGGGACTGTGAAATGGTCTGATGCTCCAATTGCGGGCGGCACAAGAGGGCAAGATTAAACGGGGCAATCAAAAAAACATTATGGCCGGTATTAAAGCAGCCCTCCGCAGCTCATTACTGGCCTGAAAGGAGCTCAGGAGTACCTATCAGCGCATGAGTCTGTCAAAACCAGCCTATAATTTGATATTTCTCTTTAATGTCCATCATATTATGACACAGTAACTTTCCCCCTGACACCTTTGCACTTAATAACCCAAAACCTCAGATGCAGACTTCAGAGAAAGTTCCTTTCCTTGCCAGAAATGAGCTGCATATGATCATCTTATATGAATTTTACATGTATACAGCCCTCAAGCGTGAAATTGATATCGTATCCCAACTCCTCACTATTATATTCTCATTATTGTGAGTTCTGCTGAGCGACTGCATGCTGTACCTCAGCGCTCAGTAGTGCCACAGGGATAAACACTTACTCTTGCAAGCATATAGCATGCTATTGGAGTTTTAGCAACCTGTACACCTTGAATATTTAATTAGAATTTACAGCCAGGGCTTCTCGGGTGGGTTATGTTGAAGGGTGTGTACTGTACACGAGTGAATGCTAGGATTTGATCAGCAGAGACGAACGAACACTCTTCACACCAACTCATTGTACTTAAGTCATTTACGGCATGTCGGCGCTGAACTAACACGGAGATGTGGACGAGCTGGTGTTTTAGAAAGATGCTGTGCTGCTTGATTAATGTGATGAGGGCTGTTTAGCATAAAATACTCTGAAGTGTGTGTATGTATGATGTTTTGGTGTTGTGTAGGGCTGCAACAGCTGATCGATAAAATTGATCATCGTCCATAATAATAATAATGATCAGCAACCAATTTCATTACCGATTAGTTGAGTACTTGTACTGTGCATGAAGAATGTCCATATCACTTTAAAGTATTTAAAAAGTAGGTACAGTAATTACATTTTTACATGCTAATGAGTGAGTGTTTGGGCATGCTGAATGTCACTTTTGCTGTTAATCATCAATACTTTACTGATTCGGTCATTGATGGCAACTAACAGTAAGTTTGAATTTATATATTAATATTTAGATGAAATTGTTTTACAGATTTAATTTATTAATTTATATAAATGAAAAACTGAAGTTGAAAGGTGTATATTAATGCGTATATTAATGTATATATTAATAATTGATCTGATATTTAAACTGATAATTGTATCAATGTTTATAATTAGATTTAATAATTTATAATAAAAATATTTTACTTCATAAATAAATATTAAATTAAAGTTGAAATGTATACATTAATGTCATAAATGTGTATATATATATGAATATTTTATTATATATTTAAATTGATAATATGATTTAAATAAGAATAAATATAAAATATTTTATTACTTTATATATAAATATATAAATATAAAATTATTATATCATATCGATGTTAAATATATAATTGAAGTTGGAATTTATACATATATTCATTTTAAATGTATGCTTTTGTTAGTTTTGACTGCTTTTATTGTCCTCATTTGTAAGTCGCTTTGGATAAAAGCGTCTGCTAAATGACTAAATGTAAATGTAAATGTAAATATGCCATGTTTTAGGTCCATCTTTGATGAAAAATAAAGCTTACAAAGTTTAGTACCATCTTTCTTGCCCTCCTTCGATCTCTAACCCACCTTGTTTGTGGCCCACCATCTGTCTTGCGGTAGGTTTTCATGCGCTGAGCCATGAAATCATTCACGCTTAGAAGCATGTCTTCAGTAAGGCCTCTCTCACGGCGACTGTTCGCTTCATTTGTGGCACCCAGCATGAGCGCATCAGGCGGCTTCTGTCCCAGGGTCACGCTACTGGATATGTTGTTGCCATGAAACAGTGTTTAGATTTAATTTCTGCTTTTTGTTTGTGCACAGGCAAACTGTTAAGTGCTGATGATTGCTATTCCAAAACAAATACAAGCAATGCTTCCCCCCTATAAACTCCATTTTGTGTTTAATGAGCTCAGATAATACAGCCAAATAGCTCTGGAATATTTTTTTTAATATAATTGCTGAGTTCATTCAGATAATGAGTGCAACAACACAGAGCATTAGAGCAGAGATCGGTGCGTAAAGCATGACCTCACACGCTCTGTGCTGCTGTTTCTAACACTATTCAAATCAGACTCTGCTTCTTGATTTGCTGGGTTGTTTGTGCAGCTGAGGCTTCGCATTATTGCATGGTTTGTGTTGTTTAATATGCCCTCGTGGTTCTTTTGTTTGCTCTTTATATCTTTTTAATTCATGGAAATTAGATGAATTCTCCCCCTATCTCGTACAAATAAAGAAGCATTCATATTAAAATAGCAAATGCATAAAATAATAAAACAAGATTGTAAGTATTTCAAGGTTAAAACTGATGTGAATATTTTAGTTACTTTAACTGCTCTCCATTTTTCTTTACCCTTTTAGCCTTCACTAGCTCATTTAAATAGTCCTGAAGTGTGATAAATGAATTTTTAAAGCGCAATTATTTCATGTAGTTTCTAAATTAATATGAGGTCATTAAACTGCATTCATAATGATTATAAATGATTAGCAGAACTGTGTAGTAGATTTAAATGGAGTATAGCTTGTCGCCGGTTATGTCAATATATATAAAATCATAAAAATAGGTAACAATGAACTGTATTAATATGAAGAAACTTTCTATATTTATCTATTCTTTTTACGGGTGTTTTAACTTTAAGTTGAATTTTGCACAATTTTGCACAACTTGCAAATTAATAAATTAATGCTTGGATAAAATAATTGCTTGGAATTTAATAAATTAATGTCTTGGCAGAAAATGACAGTGTATATCAATTTTACAGCGTATATAATAAAATATGAATAAAAATCCTTAAAACAAGATAAATGTACTTGAAAAGCAACACTGAAAATCAAAACATGATATTAATATTTGTTTTAACAGCTTGTATCTTGAATGTAAGTGCATTTTGTCAGATTTAATGATACATGCTCTTCAGTCTTTATATTGTATGCTGTGTTGTTTCTAATGCTCATTTAATTTGCTTGAAGGTTTTGAGGCAGTTTAGCTGCAAAATATGAATAGGAGTTTTTGCAGTTTGTATACACAGAAGTGCACTTAGTAAAAGATACTTTTCCCAGTGAGAAGTGTTGTTTTGTTGAGGGAGACGCTTCACTGGTAGTCCCATGACAAATATACAGTGAGGCTG